TCATTTTGGTACGTCAACAGTTTGGCGACTCCACTAGGGACATTGAGGGGTCAAGCCATTTATACTTTAATTTTGGGGGTTTTTCAATTACTAACTGTTGTTTTGTAGGTGGCATGGAGTATCTTGTAAGTTTTTTTTTTATTTTGTTATTTTATTTAATATTTTGTTATTTTCATATGTTAACTTTGCTTATACTCCCTCACACACCTCACTTGCATATCATTTTTGTCCTTGACGAGGTGAACCCGACCTCTAGATAGATGGATAACTCATGAAGCAATGACAAGTGCAATGCTTTCTTTGTGAAGTGAGATTTATCCCTTTTAGGTTCATTTTGTGGGTTAATATGGCCTGACAACCATAATGCTGTTGCTGTATTAGGTCATGAAATGCCTCTTTTTAACTCTATAGAAGTTGGCAATTGTTGACTTTATGGAAGTCAATAATTGTTGACTTTATGGAAGTCAATAATTGTTGACTTATGGAAGTTAGCAGTTGAAAAAGCCTAATCGTATAAGATCCATAGGAAACCGCACATAATGGACTTAGACAAAACTTAACCCTAGGACGGCCAGCCTAGTAAACCACCTTCAAAGTCTAAGAACCTTATACATAGGACACGTTAGGAGTATTTTATTTTTAAACAATGATTTTGTGTTTCTTAGGTGAGGAATTCGATCGATTAACTCTCCTTTTTCTTTTCTTTAATAAATAGGTAATTGATTATTTTACACATGGATTCTTCGGAGAAAAAGAATAGTAATGGGAAAAGGGTGAATTTAGAGTTAAAATGCTCGCCATTATCCAAGAAGAACAAGTCACACAAGGATGGATTCTCTGTGCAGACCAAAAGACCTTGTGTAAAAGACTTGGTTGCTGCTTGGAATAGTCTGAATAATCTTGACAAAGTGAGGTTTGACAAGAAATTTGGCAGAATAGCTGATGTGTTGCAAGTAGAGTTGGACTGGGAAATCATTAGGGCAAGCCTAAGATTTTATGTCTCACATCTTCATTGCTTTGTTTTTCCTGAGTTTGAGTTGGTACCCACCATTGAAGAATATTTTCAGTTATTGTTCAGTCGCCCAGAAATGAGTTCAGAAGTTTATGTCCCAGACCCTGTTAACTTTCAATTAAATAAGTTGCAATTTCAGTCCATACTACAAAAGATTTTGAGCTTTCCTTTAGAGTTCACAGAAAGTTGCATTATGAAGAAAAATGAAGTTTGGGGAGTTAATTGGAACATGATGTATTCCAAATTAAAGTTTGATCTAAGTTCACTTTATGAGGAGGAGGCTTAAATTTTGTTGCGTTAGGTATATATGGAATGGTTATTTTGCCCACTAATATGGACAGTATTAGTTCATGGGTTGTAGCCATGTTTGAGCAGTTGATCAAGAATCCAAATCTTAATGTTGCTCCTGTTTGAATTGCTGAAACTTTATGCGATACTGACTATATTCGAGCTCATGGCAAGGGTAGATTCACATGTTTTGCTAGTTTGTTTACAATGTGGATACATGCGTATTTGTCAAAGGTAAATATCTCCACAATTAGGGAGTTTGGAATTTCGCAAAAGAAGAATCAATTGGAAAAGAAAATGGCTGACAAATGGCATCAACAATTCTTGAATTTGAGATCCAAAGACATAGTCTGGTGTGTGACATGGTTGAAGTCTACTGATTACTTTTATCCTCCACGTGGCCATAACTGGATTCCATTATTAGGTGTTCAAGGAGCTATTAGCTATAGTTCAGCATTAGTGATAAGGCAATTCCGTGATAGACAAAGTAAACCATTGCTAGATGGTATCTCTTCATATGAGTTTGATTATTCTCTTGATACTCAAGTAATTAATCAAATTGGCTTTGCCAAGGAAGTATGGTCGCAATGTGAAGTTTGGTTCTCAAGGGACAAGATTTCAATCACTTCTGAGTTTGAAGAATGGAGGAAAGTTTGGCTTCAAGACATAGTTATCCCTTATGACATTTCTGTCATTAAAGAAGCTATCATTGTGGATTTGAAGAAAAGAATAGCAGAGCTAGAAGGTTTGTCGTGTGCTTAAAGGGTTAAGCATGAAAATGAAATTAGAGAGAAAAATATGGACATTTATCTTCTGGAAGGTGAGAAGCAAAAATTGATTAAGGAAAAGAATTCTATAACTTTTGAAAAAGAGGAGGTAGAGAAAGAAATTGACGAGCAGCCTCAAACTCTTAAAAAATTAAGAAGGATCATCCAGAAGGAAGAAAGGCAAAATGATCATTTAATGTGTGATAAAAACAAGTTGGAGGATGAGCTCAATCAAGTCAAGGATTAGAGTGCCGATTTAAAGACTCTAATAAATCAGTAGCAGAGTGAGATTGATCGACTTAAGGGTTTTGAAAATGAAGTGGAGAATTTGCTCGATAATAAATTACAATTGTTGCAAAAACTTGAGGGAGCTCAAAATAATGAAGAACTGATGAAAGAAAAATTGGCATTAATGTGAACACGACAAGTTTATCAGAGTGAGAAGATAAGAGGACTAGAAGCAGAGGTAAAAAGATTAAATGGATAGTTGAGTGAGGCATTAGCTACAATCGATCAATTAAAGAGAGAAGGAGGAAAGGTGCTCTATTTGGTCAATGGAATGTACTTTGAAGCAATGAAGGTTGAGCGTACTATTCCACCAAATCAGCATGATGCGGCTTCAAATTTTGTGGAAGGGCTTTGAAGGATGATAAGGGATTATTGTGAACATGAACTTGAAACAATAGAGTATTGGAAAAACAAAGAAAAGTGAAGTTTATGATTGTTATTTGTTAGTTGTTATATTCAAACTTTAAAATAAAAGAATAAAGTTTGAAGTCAAATTTCACATTTTCTTGAATTTTATTTGTTGAGAAAAAGAAAGTTCCTCAATAAAAAGAAGAAAAGATATGAAGGAGGAAATCTCCTCATTATTTTTCTTTTACTTAAAAAAAAAATCTAAAAGATCATGAAGGGGGCAATCTCCTCATGTTTTTGGTTGGTGTGACAATTGCTTGGCTCTAATTTCTCATTCCCTTTACATACAAATGGCTGAAGTTGTTCTTGACAATGAAAAATCCATGTGTACAAATATAAACAAATAATTAGAAGTTAGGTGTACTCATTAATGGGAACTTTGGGAACTTATCTTTCAAAATACCAATTAGATAAATTCATGATTTGTTAATACTGCTCATATTTTTCAGGTGTTGAAAGATTGGTCCTAAAAAGAATTATCCAAGAGTTCGTTCACCTATTCTCACTAGAGCTCTTGCAAGGAAGATGGCTGACAAAGCTAATTTAGAGAAGGTAGCTTTGGAAAATCGTGTTGAAAATATGGAAAATACTTTGAAGGAATTGATGGCTTCCTTCCAATCTCTTCAAGCAACCTTAGTCACAAGGGCACCTTTGACAACAAATCCCTTGTTTGAAGGAAATGTTTCTATGGCAAATCTCCCTATCACCACATCTACTCTTGGAAAGGAGCCAATGTCATATTGCCCACCAAATCCAAATATTGTTGGAATTTCTGGGACAAAGCCATTTGATCTAAATGCTGGTGTTGCTATAGTTCAATCTAATGATCAAGAAAAGACTCAAGTTGTCAAATTAATCACAGAGGATGAAGACAAGGCAATTAAAACATTGAAATCGATGCAAGGTGTCCAAACTAATAAACCGGTTGACATCTCATCTTTGTGCTTTTTGCCAAACATTCAACTGCCCCGTAAGTTTAAATTACCTGAGTTTGATAAGTACAATGGCACTGATTGTCCTTATGCCCACTTGACGATGTGTTGTAGGAAGATGGCTCCTTATGCCAATAATGAGAAGCTAATGATACATTACTTTCAGGATAGTCTAGTAGGTCATGTAGATGCTTGGTTCTCTACTTTAGACAAAAGTAAGGTAAAAAGTTGGCATGATTTGACTTACAATTTTATGAAGCAGTATGAATACAATACAGCACTAGCTCCTAATAGAGAAGATCTTCAAATGATAGAGAAGAAATCGAGTGAAAGCTTTAAGGAATTTGCTCAAAGATGGCGTGGATTGGTTGCTTGGGTTCAACCTCCACTGACTGATCATGAGTTAAGTAATTTATTCATCAAGTCAACCAAAAGGCTTTATCGTGAGAAGTTAATAACTTATGTGAATTACACTTTTGCTAAGTTGGTTGTTGTGGGAGAACAAGTGGAGAATGGAATCAAGTCTAGAATTATCATTGATTATCAAGCAATGAGGAGTCTCCTTGAACAATACTAAAATGATAGTTCAGGGGTTTCTAGTTCAAAGAAGGTTGGCCTAAGTCAAAAGAAAGAAAATGACACTGGCACCATTAGCTCAGTTTATGAAGCGTATGGGAGAAATAATCAGTCACGTCCTCGAGGGCAATTCAATAATCCTTTCCAAGCCCCAACTTATCAGCCGACAACTTTTACAAGTCAGCCAAGGCCACTTTATGCCTTTGGTACCAATCATCCACAACAAAAAGTGAGATGATATTTCGACAAGCTTCCTTTGTCATATACTAAAGTGTTTCAACAATTGGTAGCAGCTGGTCTTGTTACTCTTGTACCTATGGTTCCAGTAAAACCACCATTTCCAACGTGGTACAATCCACAAGGAAGATGTGAGTATCACAGCGGAGGTGTTGGGCATGACCTTGAAAATTGTTTGGCTTTAAGGATCGTGTTCAAGATTTGATAGACACTACTGGAAAACACAGTATATTCGACAAAAAATTCTGTCGAATATAAAGGTATTTCTGTCGATTATACTTTAATCGACAGACATATTCGACAAAAAAAGATGTCGTATAAAATGCAGTCGATAACCTGTATATTCGACAGAAATGTTTTCTGTCGAATATACAGGTGTAATCGACAGATACTTACTGTCGAATATAATTATTATCGA